TCTTCTAATGACATTGGATGTGTTCTGCTGAAACTGCCTATCTTCAACCGACTCAGGAAGTGTTCTCACAGTGGACATGTTTTACTGAACATGGACATGTTCTATTGACACTGGAGATGTTCTACTGACACTGAAAATGTTCTTCTTACACTAAACATGTTCTACTGACACTGGACAACTTCTACTGACACTGAACATATTCTACTGACACTGGAATCTTCTAAAGACACTGAAAATGTTCTACTGACACTGGAGTCTTATACTGACACTGAATGTGTTCTACTGACACTGGACGTTATCTACTGACATTGAACATGTTCTACTGACACTAGGTATCTTATACTGACACTGGACATGTTCTACTGACACTGGACGTCTTCTGACACTTGACATCTTATACTGACACTGAACAATTTCTACTTACACTGAACAAGTTCTACTTTCACTAAATATGTTCTACTAACACTAAAGATATTCTACTGACAATGGACAACTTCTGTTCACACTGCAGATATTCTACTGACACTGAACATGTTCTACTGACAGTAAACATATTCTACTGAACCTGGACGTGTTCTGGATAGAACACTGGACACTGACATTCAACATCTTCTAAAGACATTTCAAAAGAGTTCAAAAAACTAAACATTGACACCGAACATATTCTACTGACTCTGGAATCTTCTACTGACACTGAACATGTTCTACTGACGCTGAACATGTTTTACTGACACTGGACATCTTCTATTGACACTGGATGTGTTCTACCGCTACTGGACATGTTCTACTGACTGAAAATGTTCAACTGACACTAAAAATGTTCTACTGAAACTGGACATCTTCTATTGACACTGGACGTGTTCTACTGACACTGAACATGTTCTACTGACACTGGACATCTTCTATTGACACTGGATGTATTCTACTGGTACTGGACATGTTCTACTGACACTGAAAATGTTCAACTGACACTAAAGATGTTCTACTGAAACTGGACATCTTCTATTGACACTGGACGTGTTCTAATGGTACTGGACATGTTCTACTGACACTGAAAATGTTCAACTGACACTAAAGATGTTCTACTGAAACTGGACATCTTCTATTGACACTGGACGTGTTCTACTGACACTGGACGTGTTCTACTGACACTGAACATGTTCTACTGACACTGAAAATGTTCAACTGACACTAAAGATGTTCTACTGAAACTGGACATCTTCTATTGACACTGGACATGTTCTACTGACACTGGACGTGTTCTACTGACACTGGGCATCTTTTATTGACACTGGATGTGTTCTACTGGTACTGGACATGTTCTATTGCCCTAAAGATGTTCTACTGTCACCGGACATCTTCTTCTGACACTGAACATGTTCTACTGACACTGGGCATCTTCTACTGACATTGGACATGATCTACTGACACTGGAGCCTTCTACTGATACTGAACGTGTTGTACTGACACTGAACATGTTCTACTGACACTGAACAAGTTCTACTTTCACTAAAAATGTTGTACTAACACTAAAGATATTCTACTGACACTGGACGTCTTCTACTGAAACTGGATGTCTTATACTGACACTGGACCACTTCTTCTGACACTGGACAACTTCTGTTCACACTGAAGATATTCTACTGACACTGAACATGTTCTACTGACACTGGACATGTTCTACTGACAGTAAACATATTCTACTGAACCTGGACGTGTTCTATGGATTGAAAATGTTCTAGTAATACTGGAAAAGTTAAATTAACACTGGACACTGACATTCAACGTGTTCTAGTGACACTTCAAAAGAGTTGAAAAAGTTAAACATGACACCAAACATATTCTACTGACACAGAGCATGTTCTACTGACACTGAAAATGTTCAACTGACACTAAAGATGTTCTACTGAAACTGGACATCTTTTATTGACACTGGACGTGTTCTACTGACACTGAACATGTTTTACTGACACTGGACATCTTCTATTGACATTGGACGTGTTCTACTGGTACTGGACATGTTCTATTGCCTTGAAGATGTTCTACTGTGACTGGAAGTCTTCTGCTGACACTGAACATGTTCTACTGACACTAGATATGTTCTACTGACACTGGATGTATTCTACTGATACTGAACAGGTTCTAATTACCCTGAAGGTCTTCTAGTGACACTGGAGGTGTTATACTGACACTAAAATTTTTCTACTAACACTGAAAATGTTCCACTGACACTGGACATGTTCTACTGACACCAGACGTCTTCTACTGACACACGATGTCTTCTATTGAGATTGAACATTTTCCACTGACACTGAACCTGTTCTACTGACACTGGACATGTTCTATGGATTTTGGACATGTTCTATTGACACTTAACATGTTCAGCTGACACTGTATGTGTTCTAATGACACTGTACATATTCTACTGACACTGGATGTGTTCTACAGACACTGGGTGGGTTTTAGAGAACACAGTCCTCAATGACTTTGCTGTTCTTCACCTTTTAGATATGTATCTGCTTTAAAACACCTTTGCAGAACTTAACCTCCTCTGAGTAGGTAATTAAGTTATTTGATTCAGGTTATTGGACTGGGGAGATATGTGAAATTTGCAGAATACCCACTCTTAAGAACACTGATTTTGACTTCCCTGTTCTTAAGAGAGACAGATTTTTAGAGACATTGCAAGTGTTCTCTTGATGCCAAAAAGGACTACAGACATTAGAGGTGTTTTAGAGACTCTGAACATGTTGTACAGGTAATGGACATGATCTGCAGGCACTGCCTATATTTTGTCAGTCAGAAGCTGCTGTTGAGTAACATCTTCATGCAGTTTTCTCAGAGCATTTGTTTTTCACCTTATAAGGTTTCCAGCTTCTTCGTCGTCTCTTCCTGTCAGCTCCACCACTCCCCTCCAACCACGTCACCTGTTCCTGTTCCGCGGGCAAACCCTTAGCTTTGATTGGCCGAGCATTAGTCGAGAATCTACACCTAAATTTCAGTTTAAACTAAGTTAAAAAATGACCATATTTTAAGTTACCCTCTGGAACCCAAAAGAGTCGCCATATTGGGATTTTGCAGGAGAAATGTGTCTGCTTAGAGGGAAATGATGAAAGTCAAAAAAGAGAAATGAAAGCTAACTTTTTTTCTGCTTGAGTGAAGTAACTTCCTCCTGTAGAGTGGCTCTGGCTTCCTCTTTATGTACATCATCAAAACAGATAAGATGGCTGCAGGAGAAGATAAAGATGCAGAAAAGCCCACGAGATGACAAGCAGAGAGGTTCTTTGTGAAACCATAAAATATGGTTTAACTCACAGCAAAGATGTTTTATAAAGAAGTCTGAGAGAGTATTTGTCGCTCCCTTTCTAATCCATCTGTTTCCAGGGAGCATCATCTGGATCAGATGACAACGTCTGGTCATCAATGACAATGTTGCTCCAGTCTCTGGAGGTGAAGGTGGAGCTTTCTCTACCATAAATATTGCAGGGCTGGAGATGAAGAGAAGACCTGCATCCTCTAAAAGTCCTTCTTTTCATTGGCTCTTTTAGCTGAGAAGGTGTATCTGAGCAGGAGGCTTACCTGTAAAGGTCATCTAGTCACAACCCACTGTGAAAACACCTTGGGTTAGTCCCAAAAGTCTCTGGAGGGATGATATTTTCAGTGGTCACTTTATTATGAAAACCATTTATTCATCCAGATGTGATGAAGACGACCTACTGAAGTTGAACCTGAGCCTCAGACCAGCTGGTCTGTTGGTAAAAGACAGACAGCTCTGACTTTATCAGAACCTGCCTCCCTGAGTGCTGTTCCTGATCATCTCCATCCATTCATGACCACCATGAACTCATGTTCAGAAGACTGTTTCCAGGCCTCAGGTAATGCTGAGTGTGATTGGACAGATCTCACATGTAGCCATTAGGTGGGTCAAATGTTGTCCAGCCCTTAAGTTTCTGACATTCGCTCAGACTTTCTGGACCTTTGAACAGAAACATGTTTTTTCTTATAAGGACTCACAGGACTGATCCCTGGTTGGAAAAGCAGACATATGGTGAATTTTTACAGTAAATTATTGGTCTTTTTCAAATTGAAGCTTAACAGAACTGAAACATTTCACTATTTTTATTGCATAACTTATAATCATCTGCATCCCAATAAAATAAACAATGCCATCCCAGATTTCCAATTTCAAAAAACTCTACAATCCATTCTCAGATTGTTGTTCCCTAAATATCTGTTATTTTTATGAATTCCTAAATTTAATCATCATATTAACTGATCTATAATTTTCCTTTCTGGTATATTTTGAGGTTGAATATTACAGAAAAGAAACGTGTTTTCATATTTTCATCCAGTTTGTATATGAGAAAATACTGTTTTAATATAGCTTTTCCCAAAGTGTTTATAAGTTTTGATTTGATCAAAAGTTAATGACAGCATTTCCAAAAGCTACCAAAAATTTGGTCTAGAACAAAATTATTTGTGTTTTCTTCAAAAAAGACAGGTTTCAGTATGTTCAGATGCTATGTGTGTAATGGGTAAATCCAACTGTATTGGTCCTAACACTGATCCTTGTAGGACACCACCAGCAATCATTATAGGTCTGATCTATCTTTTTTAGTTTAACAATGTTACTGCCTAATATCACAGAGGTTTGAGTCCAAAACTTTCCTCCTCGAAGAAAGAAAGGTCCTTTATTTTTCTATGGTGGAGAAATTTAGACCAGATTTTTTCTCCTTTATTTTATTTGCATTTGTTTCCTCATATCTGAATATTTTTGTTTATTTTATTTTATTTAATATTTTTAGTTATACAGCATTTCTGGGACATAAATTGTCTCTATTAAAGACTAGATTTTTTTCCAACCCGAAACCTGGTCAGGTTTTAAAGTTTTTAACTTTTCCTTTTCTGCTGAAGATTTGACCTGACATCAGTTGTATCAAAGAAGCAGATATCAATGAGTATCTAAACACAAACATGATGCCCATGTGACAGAACATGAGCTGCCTCCTCTATCTCCCTCTGCCTGGTGGAGCTGAAGGTCCCTCTCTCTCAGACGTGACTCCAGGTCTATATTTAACCCACAGGTCCCCTCCCACCCACTTTCACACATACTCGACATATTGAGGCGGCTGAGAGACGACTAGCAGGATGGAGGTAAAACTTTCAAACTTTTTGTCTGCTGCACACTGTTACCGGTTTTGGTGTGTCCTGCTGCGTCACACTTGAATTTATCAGAAATTACACAAAGTTGAGCTAAATTGTCACTGCAGGAGATTCAAGCATTTGTTTTATACTATTCCTCTGATTTAAAGGATGTTTTGAGTCAGTTCTTCTTTCAATCGATGGTAAGGATCCTGTAGGGTAGATTGGGCGATTGACTGCAAACGAGCGCTAACAGGAAACCAACTTGGGCATCAGGTTTCGTCGACATTACAACTGTGAATCCAAAGCTTCTGCAGATATTCAAGACTCTCATCACCTTCAGTCAGTCCGAGGAGCCTGGAGATTTCACTGCAGGAAAACTTGGTTCATTACATTGTAAAGTTTCTTCCCATTTTAAACGTTGGTTCGGTTTGTCTGTTAGTTTTCCTCTGCAGCTCAGATCTTTACACTGTCCAAAATTCAAAATATTACTAGAAGTCCATTCAGCCATGCTGGAGTCCCTACGCTTTGCCCTCAGTCTCATATTATTCTGGATTAATCAATCATATTAAGGAAAAGAACAGATTAGAGTGAGGTAAGTCTTTGTGGCTAACACCAACCTGCCACGTGTCAATAACACAGAGCTGAAGATTTAGGAAAAATTTTCAAAAATACCTTCATTGGCCCACAGTGGGAAAAATTGGGGACTGTTGTAAAAAAAAAAACACAGAAGAAACAAGACTTTAAACATTAAGCTGTACAACAGGAAAGAAAAGAAATACACATGTGAAAGGGAACAAATGCTTTTCAGATAAAAAAAAAAAAATTGCATTCAGGTACAAAAAAAAGAGAAATGTTTACAGAACATAGTTATACCTGCGTAATTAGCAGTGTTATAGAAAAAACATATCTAGAGATCCAGAGAAGGAAAAACATGATCCAAAAACTCATTAACATCTATAGTGATTAATGTCTGTGTCATTTAGATAATTAGAATTAACACATTTAGTCAGTTTTATCTGTGTGTTTAACATCTAACTTTTCCACTTCATTGACTCGGAGGAACACCAGGCAGTTTTTCTGTCTTACAGAGAAAAACTTTTCATTGCCTTCACTCTGATCTGTTCAAAATGTGAAAACAACACTACCTGTTAGCTAACGCACATGCTCAGTGCGGACTTTATCAGGAAACTTAGCAGGAAACTTTAGAAAATAGAGTCAGAAGCCAATTACGCAATGCAACTCTGCGCAATATATAAAAGATTCAGCTGCTGTTTCACTCAAATTATTCATGGATACTATTATGGTGCGAATTCTTCCCCCTTTTTATTGAAAAAAACATGCATTGCTTCACAAATAAAATGTTGTTTACCCTATACTCTACACTGTGTCAATATTTCTTAGACACAAAGCCAAAGAAGAACAATGTGAGAAACAACACCCACGTGTTTTTGTTTTTTAAGAGGAAAATGTCGAATTCAGGAGCTGCTAGTGAAAAACCTTTATGTTTAATCACCATCAGGGAGAGAAGCTCACATTCTAAACCAGACAGTTTGCTCTTCCACAAGCAATTAATCAAGAATGACCTTAAGAAATCAATCTGATAAGGGTTAGAGCCCCTTTATTAGCCAGGGAAGGTAACTGGGTATAAGTAGAGGAACATAATAAATGTATTCCCAGTAAACCACTGAACAGGTATGGCTGTTTGGGTTGAAGGAAAAGCAATATGGCAGCTGGTTTTAGGTTTGCTACACTAAGAATATGTCTGGAACCATGTTCACTGCATCATCCTCAGAGAAAACCACACAAAGCAAAGGAGCACAAATGCCTCATAGCAGCTGTCAAACATGGTGTTGGAGGATTGATTTTGCGTCTTCTAAAGCAACAGGATCTGGGCCCTATGAAGTAATTGACTGGACCATGAAGTCCTCTGGCTATTAAAGCATTTTTGAGTCACGATAAGCTCATGTGTCCAACAACTAAAGCTTGGTCCAAACTGGATTATCGTCAGAACAGAGGTCTAGCAGTAGGTCTGAGGAAAAGGAATGAAATTAGGTGTTGGAATGGCCTAGTCAAAGTCCAGATTTAAGGGGCCAGACAGAAAACGAGGTTCTACCAGCTCATGGATCATGGGAAGGACTTAGCTTTTTACCTACAGATGCTGGATTTTTGGCCTCAATCATCTTCATAATTAATAATAATGACTTGATGAAATATGTCAGCTGTTTCTCATCTGAGGTGGAAATTATAAGATACAAGCACCCAGCGAGAACCTGGTGATGATCAAATATGGAGGACAACTAAGCTATAGTGGATCACTCTTTTTTAGTATTAGACTATAAGTTTGAATAAAGCTTGGTAGGGATAAAATTATTTATGCTCAGTTGTATATTCCCTGAGTTATATCCAATGATTTGGTTTTATTCCTCAGTGAAGATTGTCCTCTGACTGGTTGAGACAGAAGGTTTTTACTGGTAGATCTTCAAGCTGAGTTCATTACTTTTAAAATTATGCTAACAGTGATTTCTTTCAGAATATACTTTTAATACAGTCAGTTTATTATTAGACGAAAACAGAAACCAGTGAGAACTAACCATCCAATGTGCTGCTTCACAGTTTACTTCTAATTAGGACACATTCAAAGGGCACAGAGCAGAAAAAACTGATGCTGGTGCCTATCTCCAGCTGTCTACAGGCGAGAGGCGGGGTCCACTCTGGACAGGTGGCCAGTCCATTGCAGGGCAACACAGAGACAAATAAACAAGCAACTAAACATGCACACACTGAGACCTAAGGAGAATTTAGAGAAACCAATTGACCTAAGAGTCATGTTTATGGACTGTGGGAGGAAGCCGGAGTACCCGGAGAGAACCCATGCATGCTCAGGGAGAACATGCAAACTTCATGCAGAAAGAGTGGCTGGGCCTTCTTGCTGCAAGGCCGTAGTGCTACCCACTGTGCCACTCAGCAGCCCTGATATTACATTTAATGCATAATATCAATAAACTGCATTAACATCGTGTTATTTCATTAGATTTCTCCCCACAGTTGAACCCCTAACTACTGCCCTCACTGGATCTGACAGAAACATCATGCTTCTGTCAAATTGTCTGCCGTTTTGGTTTACAGACATTAGGAAAACTAAAGCAAACTATGCTAAATAAACATACAGTACACCATACTGAGCAAAAACAAGCTAAAAAGGATAAGGTAACATAAATTAAGGTAAGTTTATGAGGCTATGATAACTTAACCTAAGGTAAGCTGAGCTAAACCAAGATAACATAAAGTAACTAAGAATAGAGTTTGTGAAGCTAAGCAAGGTAAGGCAAGGTAAGTTAAGATAGGCAAGGCCTACATGAGTCAAGTTTGACTGAGGTGAGGTAAGGTAAACTGAGCTAAACTAACTAATCACTGACAAAGCAGGACCTATATAAAACAAGGGATAGCTACAAAACATTAGTCTAAAGTGATCTAAAGTAAACTAAGTTATTATTGAAGCTAAGGTAACCTTGAGCTAACCTTAACTTAGCGACTTAAACATAACTCCACTGTGTTTGGTTTAGCTTTATTTAGGCCGAGTATGACCTATCCCACTAGGGTTATCTTAGAATGACTCAATGTTTACTGGCTGCTTAAACTTAGCATATAGAAACCTTAGCCTGGTTTATAACTTTGAGCTGATCTATTTTAGTAACTATCTCTATTTACAATGGCTTGCAAAGGCTTACCATACCTTAGGCTTTTTTAGCCATTAGTATAGACCTATATTAGCTTTTTTTTTTTTATTAGTTCACTTACCTTATTTTTCAGTATTCTCAATTAAATTGATAAACTAGAGGAAAACTAACTGTTGCTTTTGATTATGTTTTTCAGACTGTTACACTAATCAAATCATTTATTAGACCTTAACTATGGAGTTGCATTAGGATTAAAAATATCTTTTACAAGAGAGACCTACTTAATGAACAAAAAAAATCCATAAGTATATAAGCAGCTACGGTACATAAATCACAGTAATTTGAACAAAGCAATATGTATTTTCTGTTCTACTCCTAAATATTTAATTAATGTAAAGATTTATATTAAAAAACTTTTTTTCAGACTAATCAAGACTGTGGTACATTGCTGAAATATGCAGATATGCAAAAAGTTGTCCTCAGAACATTCAAAGTCAAACATTAAGGGGCCCACTAAAGGTAATTAATAGAGATGACAGAAAGTAGGTTAGGAGTTATTTGCTGAGCTTTAAAGATGCCAATACTGTCTGCAGATGGTTAAAGATCTCCTACCAACAGACATTGGTTAGTCAGCAGCATAAAGAGATAAAACTGCATGCATCTACATCATATTATTATAATATAATAAGTATCCTAGTTTCACTTGTAATTAGCCCTGTGGGTGATGTGGGCGGTGTTCATAGTCCAGGTCAGGACATCTGACATGTCCTGAGCTGCTCAAGAACCTTGTTTCCCAATGTCGTGAGGTGTCATCACTGTTTATCAGCCCAACACTGGTTGCATGGTCTGAAAATAGCTTTGGAGTCATGGGTGGCGCTGCACAGTTATAGGTTTTCAATGAAAATCAATTCAACAATAGTTTATCGATCCCAAAGTGAAATTAAACATATTTTTCAGTGCCTTGTTGTATATGTGTCTATATGTTCATAGTTGTAGGCAGGGACCTAAACTTTGTCCCTTCTTATAGACGGCTTCACAGTTGCTTTTCCACTTGAGTTTGTTATCCCGGTGAACACTGAGGTATTTAAACCTGTATGTTTTCAGTTAAGGCTTATTTATACTTTAGAAATTGTGAGAATGCAAATTGTCCCCCCCCCGCCCATTCTGCAGACCCTCTAGTGCACCTCTACAAAATTGTAGGTGACTGCAGACAGTAGACCTCTGATTGGTCAAATCTTCATCCGCTCTACACTATGCGTATTTCCTGTTTGGTACCTTACCGGCTTGTTTTGTTTGTATGACCGCCCATTGTGGAAAACGATTCGTGAAGAT